GAACAGCAACTTATACATGGTATTAATGAAATAACAGTCTAGATATTATGTTTTACGTAATAAGGTATTCACATCAGATTATAAGAGACTCAAATACCAGAAGTAGGCTTGACTATAATTTTTGATAATTTTCCTTTTTGCAACAGATCTGCATTTCAAGACAGCCACGGTGGTGTGCGACACGACACTCCAGGTCCAGGCTCAAAACCACAGCTTCAACCCCTCCATCGTCAAGGTCATCCGCCAGCAGTCTTTAAACCGCAGAATCAAACAACAAAAGTTCAAGGTCAGTCACATAGGCTTCTAACAGGCGCATGATTGTGTGTGTGTGTGTGTGTGTGTGTGTGTGTGTGTGTGTGTGTGTGTGTGTGTGTGTGTGTGTGTGTGTGTGTAGTGTAGTGTGTAGTGTGTGTGTGTGTGTGTGTGTGTGTGTGTGTGTGTGTGTGTGTGTGTGTGTGTGTGTGTGTGTGTTTGTACATTGTGTATGTGTTCATGTGTGTGTGTACTTGTGTGTGCCTACATGTGTGTAAGACTGTTTCATTGCATCTCAAGAAGATGATAGATACATGTACATACCAAGATCAGACTTTGCTTTTGCAGCGTCACAATCAAAGATTTTTTTAGTACATGCATTGTAACAGTACGTGTATAATGACGAGTTACTAACCTTCCCAGCTGATGTGGCTTCAGACACGGGCAGTAAGAACTCCAGACGAAGTTCCTCCACCGGTTCATCAGACTCCCATGATGCACTGCTGGCAGAGATCCAGGCTAAGGTGGGTCAGAGGAAGACTGGAACCAGGAACGTCCAGCCGCCTGGTGAGTTTGTTTATTTGTTTTATCTGTGTTTGTTTTGTCTTTGTTTATTCATGCTGACAAAGCAGCTAAAGCATGAAATACATGTATAAGACTTTGTGTAATATGTTCAGTATCAAATTTCTGTTTCTTTTCCTTAGTCCCAGGAGCAACCATTGTTGTGGAACCAACAGCAACCAGAGATCTCCCCCACCAGCCAAATGGTCACATCCCAGGGAGTTCAGAGTTGAACCAGGGGAAGAGTCCACATCTTCCACCTGAAGGGGTTGTAAAGAAGCCTCCACCTGCCCCTCCTAAGCCAAAACTTAAGCTGGATGATGAGCTGGGTAAGATTCAAGACTTCCTACTTGAGACTTCTCTGCAAATACAAATAAGATTATGCTATGAGAAACAGGCCAGGTGGTCTTGTGTTTAAGGTTGTTTACTTAGAATCCAAATGTTCTGGATTAGAATCCCTGACAGGCCCCGGTGATGTGCCTTTTGGAAAGACCTTACACACCTACGTTACCGGTATTTCCTCTCTTGACTCAGGTGAAAATGAGCACCTAGCTTCAGTTAAGAACATTCTCTCAGGGGTCCCATGTTTGAGGAGAACCACACCTCAAGCATGTTTAAGAACCCACCACACTTATTGAAAAGAGTTAGGGTCAATCCCATGGTGAGTGGATCAAACCTCACAGTCAGGTCTCCAGGTTGACATCTTGGAAAGTTGATAGTCACCTGCAAATGTGGTAAATCTCAATAAAAAGATGAATAACTGCATACATGTTACTACCTTTAGATCCTTCCAACCTGAAGGTTGTGGACATACCAGAGGATTTGCCTACGTGGAAGAAAGCTCTGTATGAGAAAAGGAATAAACAAGTGATGGTAAGTAGTAATACTCTTGTTTGTTTTTTAATCTTCCTTACTGCCCATGCATACGTTGTTATATTTTCTACATTGCTTTAATTTGCATATGGGCATCCACAATGGGATGTGCTATTCCTTCTATGTTTTTCTAGCTGATAGGCAAAATGATTACTCACATTGGGGTTCCATCTCTTGCCAAAACTCTTGACCCAGAAATGCTCCCAGTAAAGATAATAGATGCTAATACATGTAGTATGACTACCAGAAAATCTGACATACTCAAACCTCAATACACCATTGCTGTAATGTGGCAACTGCAGTCATTTTCAGTATCGGTATTGTTATAGCCGGTATAACCGCCCTTCAGCGTAACACACCAGCGGCAGCTAGCTATATTACACCAAACGACTTGTTACGACTCTTTTCCCTAATAATGTAATCATGACAGTTTACAGTACAGGTTTTGGAGAGTGAGATAAAGTCAAAAAGTCAGACAAAGAAAAGTTTTTACAGTGTGTATCTGAAATGATCTTTTGTAGGAGACTTTGGAGCAGCAGAAGGAGGTGGAGGACAAGTGGGCCAACGTGCCAGACTGGAAGAGAAAACTGCTTCAGGAAAAACAGCAGAAACAACAAGAGGTCAGGAAACTAGAAAGACTTAAAATGCTAAAACTGTACACAAAGATAAAGTGGTTATCAGGAAGCTTTACACCAGCATTCTGGTCCTTATTAGGTTGAAATGACCCTAAACCTAAGTCACTTGGAAATGTGACTTCAACAAGAGGTCAAAAGTGCCCTCAATACGCATCTGCCCCTGTCTCATTTGAGGGATGACATATATGACTCATGTCAGGACATGTTCATCCCTGTTGAAAATGGAAATGCCCCTTTTCACATGGACATCCCTTTCCACTAAATTGCAGTCTCCGACTGACCAAAATATGTGGCCCTTGATTTCATAATACATGTAATTGGAATTTGAAGTATGACATTTATAAGTATGATTAAAACACAAAGAAATGCACAGAACATGAAAAATATATTGTTCTTTATCACCCACCTGGTACATTTTGTATGTGCTGGGTCACTTTCAAGCATGAGTGACCCCTATCAATCAACTGTCAAAGTCACGTCCCACCATGAAACCAAACCTATTTGAACAGACAGACATACAAAGCCATAAACTCAGCCATGCTGAACAGTATTTGCATAGTCAAAAGCAACAAGCGATTACATGATTACATTAACTATTTCTCCTTCAGGTGAGATCAGAAGAAGATGAAGTGAAAAGAAAAGAGGATGAGAGGAAGAAAAAGTTGGCAGCCATGCCCACGTGGAAAAGAAATCTTGTCAAGAAAAAGATGGAGAAATCAAAGGAACCCAAAGATCAGGAGACAAAACCACCAGAACCGCCACGGGAGGAGGTAGAACCAGAGAGAACAGCACTCTAGATAAACAGTAGATAGAACCATTCTCCAATCAGGTGAATCTGGCAGGGGTTCTTTTGTTGGTGCTACATGTATAAATCCTGAAAATTTCACAGTGACGCCATTTTGGCAAAGGACAGAAAGGGAGGTTCTACAGTGTTTTAAGTACACAGTTTAAATAGTTTTGCATTTCTGTGGTTCTCCCTCATTTCTACTTCTTCTATAAGATACTGAACAATGCACTCACAGGGTTTCATGTTCAGGTAAATTGTTCTTGCTAGCAGGAGGGTAGCCCCGAGAAAGCTTGCACCATTAGAGAAAGCCAACAAAAGAACCTTGACTGGTTATCTGGATTGATTA